ATGAAAACAGGCTTGTGTCTGGTGACATATCTCCAAACGTTTACTCTGCTTAAACCTCTCCCTTTCGTACAATCGACTGCAAACTCACATTCATATCTGTCTTCATCCAATCAAAAATCAATGGATCCCTGCCCTAACTTCTTCTATTTTAATAATCTGTTTCACTGGATCTGTTTTAAAGGGGTCATATAATCGATAACAAGATTTTTTCAATGTATGTGTTTGTGTCTGTGTTTAGGAGATGATTAAGTACAGTAAAGGCTGTGAAGGCTCAGTGGAGCTGCAGGCAGCTCTTTCCTCCATACTGGGTATCCTGAAGGCTGTAAATGACTCAATGCACCTCATCGCCATCACAGGATATGAGGTAAAACACATATGCACACACAACTCGCATCTTACCCAATACTGTTCATTAATGTTTTTCACTCCTCTTTATTCCACGATATTCCAAGCAATGATCATTGATTCCATCCAGGGTAACCTTGGAGACCTGGGTCGCCTGCTGATGCAGGGGTCGTTCAGCGTGTGGGCGGAGCATAAGAGAGGTCACGTGAAGGTGATGGAGCTTGCCAGGTTTAAGCCCATGCAGAGACACCTGTTCCTGCATGAGAAAGCTCTGCTCTTCTGCAAGAGACGAGAGGAGAGCGGAGAGGGATACGAGAAAGCACCCTCATATAGCTTCAAACAGGAGCTCAGCGTAAGTGTGTCTTTAGTCTAATAATCCTTGGCTAAAGATTTCACAAAATGATGTTGAGCTCATATTGATAAATCACCTCTTTTATGCTATGTTCTGTTAAGCATGGCATTTCTCCTGAACTCGTCAAATTTGCTCTTGTTAGTGTCTTTAAAAGGTTATTTTCCTCATCTGACATTTTTCTAAAATAGCAAATGTGACATTTCATATTTTTATGGGTCATTTTAAAAATTGTAATCTTTTATTAATCCTAAAACCAAGAAGCATATTTTATAACATGCACAAACTTAAATTAAAATTTCTGTTGGTTAAACATCTGTTGGTTCTGTGGAGTCTATAATTCAAATGTGTGCATGCTTAAGTTGCATATTTAAATATTTAAATGAGTAAGGTCACAAAAAGAGTATTTTCATACTGCAATTTTTTTTATTTTGAAAGGAAAAAAATAGCCTGCACACCTGATGGTCTCTGTTCTGTCTTTGTTAGATGGCTGCTATTGGAATAACAGAGCATGCTAAAGGGGACAGCAAGAAGTTTGAGATCTGGTCCAGTTCAAGAGATGAGGTCTACACAGTACAGGTGAGCACAAGAGTGTGTGTCTTGAGGTCAGATTTTCTAAGAAGACTGTTACATGTGTTCAGTCTGCATGGATCAGATAACTTGGGTTTATATATGGCTTTGTGACATATGTTATTCTGTAGGCCGTGTCTGAGGAGGTTAAGACCATCTGGGTAACAGAAATCCGGAAACTTCTAACAGGACAGTTGGAGGCCTACAAAGGTATGGACCTGGTTTTAGGTTAGTTTGTAAATAAGTAGTTGAGGAGGGTTTACAACTTGTGATTCATTCATTCAGATAACTTGCAAAATGCAGAATTACCACTAAGATGCATCAAATGAATGTTTGTGTTATGTAGAGGCAAGTCAACAGAGGGCACCTGAGCAATTCTCCTCAGATACCAACTCAACTAACAGGTACGATTACACGCCATCACATTTACACATACATATATGAGCTCATTTCATAAGTGAAACTCATCTTCAGACTGGTGAGAAATGAACATAGTAACCTCAGGAGTGGAAGAGTGGAGAACCCAAAGGCAGACGAGGAAAGAGGCAAAGAACTTGAGAATATTCTAGAGCCCAGAATGACAGGGAGAGCAAAAGGTGAGCGAAAAACTCGTGTCATTAGAGAATTTTCATTTTGATTGAACTTCCCCTTTAACTTCTTTCTGTTTCTTTGATGGTTACAGGGTCTTCATTCAGTTTTGAGACAAAACCAAAACGACAGGATATCCGGAGTGACCCTACACCTCTAGGTGACCTATTTCAGCAAACTGAAAATCAAATATAGTTTAATTGCTGTCTCATTTTCAAGAGATTAAATAAAAATAGAAAATAGGTGATGTTAAAAATAACTAATTCATTATCACCAAGGCATCAAGCTCTCTAAAGGGTAAAGACATGAGCTGATCCTTAAAGAAATAGCTGACACAAAAACTCTATCAGGTGTGCCATTCTAAGAAATAACTAAGAAGATGCAGAGATGCAGTCTGATTGGTCATTTTCCTCCCAGAAACAGGGCCACACCCTAACATGGGCGGAGTCAGGTGGTTCAGTACATCAAGCCTGTTTCAGAATCGTAGGAGAGGTACACATACTGAGTACACACGTATGTGCACACTTATGCATAATCCACTGAGATGTTATAGGATAGCATGTGTTTGTAGGTTATATGTGCATCTCATTAGATGCTTTCTGAGAGGTGCTACGTCTTTGTCTTTACAAAATTGTTTCGGGTTAAGCTCTATCGACAGCATCTGTTACACAAAAAATACGTTTGACTAGTCCCTCAGTTTGAGAGAGTAATGTCTTTACAATGGAAGTTAATGAAGCAGGACATTACAAAGGATTTCAAAGCAGAAATGTGCAGCAGAAAAGCGCTTTTATTCATTCTTCTGTACAAAAATGTTGTAGTTGTGGACAAATTGTCCTTTTATTCATGCTGTTGATAGACAAACTTGTATCGAACCCGGAACGTTTCACTGACACACATCCACGCATGCTCTTTCTGTGCTCTGGGAAATGGTCACTAGTCTGTCTTCTGTCTATCACGGTGAGGTTTCAGTGGTACTTTCTCTGTCATCTCTGACCTCATTTACATGTTTACCTACAATATCTTTTGTCTTTAAACTATTTTCTTCTCTGCCTCAGGTTGGACTAAAGGATCTCTCTCGTTGGATGCCTCTGTGGAGCATGATGGATATTTTAGTGCAGAGGAGCAGGTGACCTCTGACCCAGATGAGGAGAGGGAACATAAAATGGTACGAGACCAAGTCTGTTTTTCACTGTCAGACTTAAAAGCAATAGGGTGTCATGTTTTAAGCATTTCTTTATCTTTATTTCAGTGTGCAGATGAGCTGCAGTCTGTGAGGATAGAGGAAGAGATCCAGTGTTCTGAAGAGACTGAGGATCCTGAGAAATGAGAGATAAGTGTGAATGTGAGCGTATTGCCATAAGTGTACAGCAAATACGCTAGGTTTCGTGCATAACTCTTGAAAATAGGGAAATGAGTCATACAGTATATAACCCATTAACTTTGAAGATCTGCATACTCTTAAAAATAAAGGTTTCTGGTAGAACCAAAGAGTTTTAATGAATAGCCTACATGGAGAAAGCTGTCCATTAGTAATCACAATGGCAATGTGACTAAATGCTTTTTTGTCAGAATATGCAGCTAATTTTAAATGGCTGTCAATGGAGAAAAATGCTTCTTAGAACCAAACATGTACCAGCAGGGGTCATACTAGCCAGCCACAAACAAAAAGTTAGTGCCAGAAAGGGTTTTACAGCACCTTTTTATTCTTTAAATCTATAAGAATCCGTCTTGACTAACTGACACTAACTGAACTTTTTGACTCTCCAAAGAGCTGTGGAAAATGACTGTTGTTAAGAGAGTTCTTTGCAAAAAGCTTTATTTTTAAGAGTGTAGTCTAAGAATGCACCAATATAATGTGTTTTACAGAGACACCTGAGCCAGCTCTTTACACACTGTCTCATAGTATGCTGTGATACATGTTTCATATCCCGTAAAACTTAGTATTTGTTTCTGTCACAGTAATGATGTCCATATTGGGATATGGCATGTCTATTGTCAATTCCCATGATCTCCAATGTGAAAGCATGTGACATATCATTGTGTACTGTACAATGCAGGAAACTAGGACCTATGTGTAAAACAAGCATATCATATATGCAGATGTTGTTTCTCAAAGTGACTGTGATCACCCTGTGCCATTTGTATGTAAAATACATTTACAAATTAATATTGTTTTATATATATGCATATAAAAATAAAACCATAGTTGACTAATGACTTTTGCCTATTTTAATAGATAAAATTTAACAGATCAAATATACACAATGACATTTCCGAGTCCGACTACTTGAATATATATCATATAATGATTTAAGTACGATCATTATTTTTAACCATGTCAAAGGATTATTTCACCACTCTATGTAAACCTGAGAGGAGATATATGAAGAGTTTATTTGCAAAAACAGATAACTCCGTTTCTAAAAAATTTCAAAAATCATGTTTTATTATGTTATCATGTTTTTATTGTGTTAAGTTAGCTGTATTTTTAGTTATTTTGAACCTAATCAAGATAACCCAACTGACTGAGATTAATTGGAATGAACAATGAAAAAACATGATTTTTGAAACTTTTCTTTTTTTGAGTTATCTGTTTTTGCAAATGAACTCTTCATATTGAGAAACTAAATTGTATTGGTCTATGTCAGTGTCCCTTTTCCTTACCTTCCTTTTGTTTGAGAAATGATCCAAGTGAATGGCCCAACGTGAAATACCCTGACATCTACAACTATTTGTGTCCTTAAACGCTCGGTTTTTTGGGTCGACAGCTTATAAAAACGTAGTTCTGGGGGTTTTAGCTTGTTTACTGACCACCTTGGCACACAGCAGGTTTTATGCATTGTTCTGTGAAAGGATATAATATAAAGTCAATGGAGAGGGTTGGATTGTTTTCTCTCCGGTGTGGGCGTGGCCTAAATGCGCTCTGTCTCTATTGTAATGTTTTTAAAGTTGCGATTGAATTACTTTTGTCAAAATAATTGCTTTTACGTGGTACCTGTTACTTTTAATCAGCACCGGTCATGATGGGCCAATCACAGTCGTTTGTGATTACAGGAAATAAATAAAAAAAGCTTTGGCTTTTATATAAATTGATTTAGTTTGATATTTGGTTGAGTTTTGAAGATCTGTTTGATTGAATGTACTGCCCAAGATAATCGAGATTACTGTCTGGAGCTCGAGTAGTTAACAAGAGTGTTTTTATGCATGCAAAATGACAAAGATCAAAATGACCCGCCTTCTACAGAATAAAATGAAAACGAAACTTAAAGGAACATTGCAATATAAACTTGAATCGTCGTTGAATGTCATCAAGCAGAGCTCAACATGGGATCGGATCAATTTCAATCTCAGAATACAATTATTTGTGCACTTTGCGAGAAATCAGACGAAACTGAAATCACAGGGCCTCTCTCCTCCAAAGGAAACATCTCCGCACATCAAAACTGTTTGGTAAGTATAGGCTATGTTTTCATATTGCATCCGTTACGAAAATGTACTGTAAGTTAGTTGTTAGTGCTGTTCGCTGTTACTCATAGTTTTGTTTGGATTAGGTTAATGTGTTTCACCTTAATCTAGGCAAGTCAATTTAGAATTTCTGTATATAAGTTTTAATGCTTATCTTATTTTATTGTGTCCTCAGTTGTTTGCATCAGCGATCTACTGCAAGAAATCGCCCACCTATGACGACCTGTTTGGATTTGATGTAGAAGATGTAAAGAAAGAGCTGAAGAGAGGAAAAAGACTAGTAAATATCATTGCAAAAGCATATGCACAACACACATTAACTGCCTCTAAAACGTTATAATTAATTTTAACTGGTTAATATTTTTCTCAAAATATATCGTGTAATAGCCTACATAACACAGTGTCCATACACAATACTTTAATGATAAACTACAATAGTAGGGGTGTTAAAATTAATAGTTGCATCGATGCAATCGATCAAGCTGAGAAATCGATTCTGAGCTCGGCTTTTCCCGCATATGGCACTTGTGCGCTCTAGAGACAGTCGCGGCGGGCTTGCACAGGATATGCGCGAGACGTGCGCATTGCTCGACAGTGCTTCCAGCCGCCGTTATTTCAGTCTTTTACTTTAGATATGCTTTCATTTATGCCGTTTGGAATGCAGTACGTATTAGATGCACGAAACTCCCGTACTGACAGACTTTCTTTCGCGTGCGCTTTGTGTTTGTTTGTCCTGAAGCTCTTGGTTGCGGTTAAATGCATTTGCAGCTCCGAATACTTTTATGATACGAAAATTACGAGATTGATGTGTAAACTGTCAGTTATGTTTTCAGAACAGGACAAACATCTGATATGTCGAAATAGATCTGTGCATTAACTGTCTATGAACTCATGATAATCAAACGGCAATGCTGAGGACAAAAAGAAAAACCCAACTATGATTGTCTGTAAACTTTCGGATACTTAAAGCACTCTCAGATATTGAAAGTACTTTGTGTTTATCACTTGTTGTCTTTTCCCACCTTTATTTCTTTATATTTGCTTGTATGTTTTTGAAGCTATATTTACTTGGTTAAATTCTTAACAACTGTTTTGATTTATTATTAATTTATAATAATTTTTTAAAAACCTGCTTATATAATTTAATAAAAATGCACAAAATAAATTTGATATAACCGTGATGCATAATGATGCATCGTGATATTGAATCAAATCGAATCGAATCATGAAACCAGTGCCGATTCACACCCCTATACAATATATATTAATAAACTGCAGCTTAAGTGTAAAATATAAGTGTATTAGGGGTATTTTATGTGACATGTTCCGAAAATATAAATTCTGTACAATACATGTAAAGTTGCAATCAAAATTATTCAACCCCCTTGACCCGCAAGGCATTTTGCTGCCGAGAACAAAATTGTATGAAACCAATTCAACAAAGGCATTGGTAAGCCATTATAGAACATTTAAGAATGATTGTGAGAACGTAAAGTTGATGGAAAATGACAAAAAAAAAAATCAGATTGGCTCTAAACATTCATGTACAAAATTATCCAATCCCCAAATTTTATGCAGTATCTTTTATTCTTTATAACCTCCAAATGCTGCCTGTAAGTGCTTAGAAGCTTCCGTCACATCTCTACTGGAATCTTGGCCCGTTCTTTGCTTGAAAAAGATCCCTTGCTGATTTAGATGTATAATTTGGGATGATTGTCCGGCAGGAAAGTCCATTGATCATCAAACTTCAGTCCCTGCACCGAAGGCATCAGTCTTTGCCAAAATGACCAGTACTTCAAATAATATGTTATGTCTTTCATACAGTCAATGTTAGCACTTCCTGCAACAGCAAAGCAGCCCCATAACAAGATAGGTCCACCACAATGTTTGACTGTGGTGATGGTGTTTTTCTGCTCATAAGCTTTACCTGATTTGCACCAGATGTACTGCTGATCCATGGGTTTGGTTACACCACTCCATAAGACATTCTTCCAGAAGTCCACAGGTCTATCCAAATGAATCTTAGCCTATTCAAGTGGGCCTTTTATGTTCTTCTTGCTCAAGAGGGGCATTTGGCAAGATGCCTCAATATGAGGGTCATGCTTGTCTAGTGTTTTTCTTATACTCTGAAGATGACCTGATGAAAGGAGGAAACATGCAAAGTCTTTGGTAGTAAATTGAGGGTTTTTCTCAGTTGCTCTAATCAAACCTTTTATTCCCTTTGATGATATTGTGCTTTTTCTTCAACATCTTCAAAGGTTTTCTGGTACAACGCATTTTAAATTATGAATAAGCTGTGTCTCTGAGAACTTGTCTCTAGTTTTTTGAAAATCTTCTTGTAGCCATAGACTTTCCAATGTAATAGAATAATTTCTTCTCTGTAGCTTTTGTGAGAGCTCTATTGACTTGGCTATCTTTGCTACTTCGGATCGGATGCAAAATTCACTTTACAAGTTGTTTGAACATAAATGTGTGTTGGAAGTGTGTGTACACATCCATCCTATAATGAATAAAATCCACTCAAGTTTTTTTTTTTTAAATCCCTATTTTAAAATCCCCTTTCTCAAATCAGGCTGTTCTGAGATTCCTGTCAGAATGACGTAGTTCTGCACAGGCCCCTCCCACGATAGTTGATTGACACTAGCGTCTTACCTTAGACCCGCCCTGAGTGAGCTGTCATCAGTCCGTCATTGTGTCGACTCCGGTGCAGGGGAAGACAAGAACGTCTCCGATTAAGCGATTTAGGTGTTTTGTTGTTGGATGTAATAATTAATATAGCAGTCGTCATTTACTCCCGACATCTGAGCCGCTGAAGACGCAGAGGATTAAGTTACTTTCGTTTTGAAGGGAATGCGCCGATCCCGATCTAAATGCGTCTATGTTCGCGTGAATCATTCATGATCCGGCTTCATCAACAGAAGAAGTGAGTATAAGGGTTTTTTATGAATCTTTGCAAATCGCCTTTCCTAATAACATGCTAGTTAGCCAGTTTCGCGGCTGAAGCTTACAGTCTGCTCGTCACCCCCGTAGACTGCACGGAAGAGAGGGGCGGGGTCAGCAGAGCTCATTAGCATTTAAAGCAACATGGACTAGAATGGCTTGCTGAAAACAGAGCTGATTTTGACAGGGTAAAAAAGGTGTTTTTTACACTACCATTGAGAAATTTTAACCAAATTATGTTATAGACTTTTCATTAAGACCCTAAAGAATCATATCAACTTGTGGAAAATGGGCATCCGATGACCCCTTTAACACATGCATGGAATAAATTTATGTATGCTAATTCAGTTTGTTATAAAGCTTCCAAAGCTTAATTGTGTTTTAACACAATTTTGTACCATACCATACAAATACGAGATAAGAACAGCGCTGTTACATAGGGTTTGAATAATTATGACAGCTATACTACAAAAACATTACATTATATATAGACATTATCACTTTTAATTTGTATTACTTTTGCAAATTATTACAGATAACCGTCTCCAGAGGGTTGAATTATTTTGATTGCAATGGTAATTTGTATTGTTCAGCATAGTACAACATTATACTTTAACATGAATATTTCTGTACATTAAATGTAAACTCTGACCAAACGGTCGTCATATTCTAGTGTTGTTTCTCTGTGAATGCATAACTGCTGTGTGTTTATTTCTAGCTTTGCCACCTCTGTAAAAAAAACGGTGCTACAGCGGGATGTGATGTAAAACGTTGTAAGCGCTCGTACCATTATCCCTGCGCCATAGAGGATCGTGCCAGAGCCCTTGAAGACCGTTTTATGTAGGATGAAAGAATTATTTTTAGCAATTTATGTTTTAGATGTAGTAAAATTAAACTAATTAATGTTTCATTTTAGACTGTTCTGTGAATTACATGATCCAGAATCCCCCCAAAAAAGTAAGTGTTTCAATTTTAAATTCAGATATTCTATGATAAACTGATTTTTTTTTTTTTTTTGTAATTGTATTTGTTTTAGTGATGCAAATTTGTAAGTAACTTGTGTGAAAATGTGAAATGTCAATGTGAGAATTATTGTCAAATTTTCTGAGTTGGTGTTTTTGTTTAGAAGGTTCGCCAGACGGTCGAAGGCCTAACATGAAAAGGCCTGAAAGGGTCAGCATGCACACACACACACACGCTTACAGCCTCTTCATAAACACATACATGGACTTTTACCTAACCACATTACTGTTCATCTTAAAACATCACTGCACAATTCTGAAATAAAGACATGTAATTAGTTTAGATTACAATATGAAATTTTGGATGTAATTTCCTGTCTTTCCTTTTTCTTCATTTACTAATAGAGAGATTCTGATTCATCTACAGGGTAAGTGTGCAGAGTGTGTGCATCCTCATCAGAACTGGATTAATCACAGAACATTGTCACATTATTAATTACAGTGTGATTATTTCAGATGATCTTGTGTTTGCACTTTTTTAGGTCGTCAGAAGTGAATTTGCCCAAAAAGAAGAAGAACGTGTCATTTATTTTGTTAGATTCTGGTAATTGTTAATACAGTTTATTATAGCTTTAAATTAAACAGTACTGCAGTAATACTCAATAACCCAGTTCAGTTACAAAAAGTAGAGTGATTTTGTTCAAAGATCTTTATGTGTTTATTTGTCAACATGAGAATAATAGCTTGTTTTTGGCATGTTGATGACAGATATTGTAATGTAAATGTAAAACATTAATAACACTGGACTATTATAATTTTATCATAGATGATGACACTGAATATTTGCATCCTCCAGTAGAGTCAGATATAGAGGACTTTACACCTCCAAATCAGAACAATGTGAGTTTTCCTGACATAATCTGTCTTGATGCATCATTTAAATGTCTCCAATTACACATCATCTTGTAAAGATTGAATTCAAACTGCAAATTCACAACTTTTAGCAAAGACGTGGCTATTTTAAAACTTGTTAGTAATATTGTTGTAATTTTTCTCTTTTTAATTTCAATAGCCGTCAACTCCTGATCCTGAAAGTAAAAGGTATGCTGAACTTTATTAATCCACAGAAAGTATCCAGCCTGAAACATGTTCTAGGATGAGATGTGATTAAGAAAAAAAATTATTGTCCAAGTTCCTTAAACGAGTTTCTCTGTCTATTTACAGACCCTGTGCAAAGCCCAGTCCATCAACCACAGGTTCAAATAAACACAGTGTGTGTAAGTAAAGGGTCATATTTTTTATTTCGGTAACACTTTATAATAACTTTCATTAATAAATCATTAACAAACATTATATAATGTTTAACTAATCATTACTTAATATATATTCACATATCTAGAAATATGAGACAATGTCCTTGTTAATGTCAACTAATGAACTTATTAAACATTACCAAGTGATTAACAGATTATTTAATGTCAATTGAAATGCTTACAAATGTCATTAAACTTTCAATGCGTTTTAAAAATATACAAATGATTTGTTCATGTACTTTTGAATGCTTACAAATGTCATTAAACTTTCAATGCGTTTTAAAAATATACAAATGATTTGTTCATGTACTTTTGAATGCTTACAAATGTCATTAAACTTTCAATGCGTTTTAAAAATATACAAATGATTTGTTCATGTACTTTTGAATGCTTACAAATGTCATTAAACTTTCAATGCGTTTTAAAAATATACAAATGATTTGTTCATGTACTTTTGAATGCTTACAAATGTCATTAAACTTTCAATGCGTTTTAAAAATATACAAATGATTTGTTCATGTACTTTTGAATGCTTACAAATGTCATTAAACTTTCAATGCGTTTTAAAAATATACAAATGATTTGTTCATGTACTTTTGAATGCTTACAAATGTCATTAAACTTTCAATGCGTTTTAAAAATATACAAATGATTTGTTCATGTACTTTTGAATGCTTACAAATGTCATTAAACTTCAGTTCACATTTTAGCTAATGCTCATTTTTACATTTAACAAATGTTGTGAAAATATAGCTTATATGCACTTCACAAACTATTCATGTTAATATATTCATTAACTCACAATGACAGTCTGTAAAGGTCATATATTTGGTCTTTGTTTGTTGTGTTGACTTTTAAGTTTAGCTAAATGCTTGGTAAAGACATATCACACATTGTAATTGGGGTGCAAAACATGTTTTTATCACCTCAACACTTATATTAGTATACTATTGTGTATCATTAAACAGAATATTCCCGGAGTCATACATCAACAGGAGGGGGGAAAAAAACTAATTTTCAAGAAAATACTTTATCAAAACAATGCAATATAAACTTATATGAAAATATGAATTGTGTTCCCATATAGTAATCAAATTGTCCCCTGTACACTGTTGACCCCTTACCCAACCTTAAACCTACCCATACACCAAACCTGTCCCTAACCCTACCCGTATCACACCTCAACCGCAGCAAAGGTGTTGTGCATTAACAAAAGCTTTTAATCATTGTATAACATCTGTTAAAATCATTTGTAGATTTTCAAGATGTGCATGAGCATACGAGTTAGAAGTTTTATGACATTTGTAAGCATTTTAATAAACATGAAATGTTAATTATTAGGTAATGTTTAATACATTTATTAGTAAACATTAACAAGCACATTATTTCACATTTCTAGATATGTGAATATATATGAAGTAATGATCCGTTAAGCATTACATAATGTTTGTTTATGATTTATTAATGAAAGTTATTATAAAGCGTTACCGTTTCTAGTATGAAATGCATTTGTGTTTGTTTAGGTTCATTAAACTTAACGTCTGCTCAGAAGGCTTGTGGATCAGCAGACAATCCAGGAGAATTGCATGGCATGGTCAGAACACACACACACACACACTTCAGCTTTCCTCTACATGAAGACACTTGATGTTATCCTCAGTACAGTCATCATCACCATCTGGAAAATAGACTAAAACTGCTCTGTACTATTATCACTAAATATCACTTTATAACATAAATTTGAACTTGGTTTAACCTTTTAATAGCTAATTAATGTAACTTAATTAAAAAAATAAAAATGAATGTGTCATTTATTAGGCCTTATCTCAGAGATGAGTGGCTACAGAATTGTATTCACAGATGCTCATTCTACTTGTATTATGCTAAGGAACAAATCATACTGTATCAACAAACAGATATGATCTTGTAAGAATTTGTTTAGAAGACAAATAGACAAACCTACTTGAAAAATAATACTGGTTAAAAGTACAGCTTATTCTAATTTTGTCTTTTTTTATCTTATTTAATAACAGAGTAAACGTTATCCATATATGTACAGAGCATGTACGTTTCGGTGAGTAGTCTGTAGAAAACTTTTAATTATGGAATATTGTCTAGTTAGTAATCACAGTGTTATTGTAATGATTCTGCGTTTTGTTTTGTTTTTTAGATCGCTAAAAGTGGGAAAGCCCAGAAGGGGAAAAAATAAAAGCATTCTAGACTCAGGTGTTTATTGTATATTTAGTTTTATTTCTCTGTCAAAATGGGAATATGAATTTTAGATATTTCTTGGGCTGTATAAAAAGTTAAAATCAAAACAATGAGTCTCTGTTTTAGATGATGAAAGCCCAACCAGCACTGACCGTGTAGTAGCTCCAGGGGTGTCAGATCTGGAGGACTCTATGCTTCAAAAACAGCCCAATGTGAGTCTCTTATCATAAAAAATTGGACTGTTTGATATGTGTCCATATGTACCAATGTATCATATTAAACTTCACTGAAACTGCTCAGTCCAAATTAGAAGAGACAGTTCCCCCAAAAATGAAAGTTCTGTCATTATTTACTCACCCTCAAGTTGTTCCAGTCTTGTGTGCCTGTATTGACTTTCAAAGCAAGACTTGACCCCATTGACTTTTAATATAGACAAAATATCGGAGACATTTTTTCAAATTGTTTTATTTAGTTCCACTGAAGAAAGTCAGTCGTACAGGTTTAGAAAGACATGAGGGTGAGAGAATGCAAGAAAAAGCATTTTTGGGTGAATTAACCCTTACAAAGAAAGATTTTAAATGAATCTTAAAAACATTTGGTAGTAAAATTGTAGCAATGAAGTGTTTCTCTGTTCACTTTTAATAGCAGTCCACTCCTATGCCTAAAAAAACAAGGTATGTTTAGGATTTAGAACCATTTTGAAAGCAATACAAATACAAAAATACCATAACGTACCATGGTATTTTGGCAAAAACGTACAATCGTTGTTATGTAAAGAAACTTTTTGTTTTCCTTTATCTGCAGGCCGTGTGAAAAACTTAATCCATCAACCACAGGTACAAATGTGTTTGTATTTTTGAAAAAAAAAAATTAACGAGAAGTATAATTTATCATTCCTTACTGTAAAGAAACAATCTCATTATTTTCAGAAGCTGACGATGACACCGACATTGATTCAGTGAGTCTCTCTACACAACACATCACACTCATGTCACACCATAAACAAGCAGATGTATTTACTGATATTTTCATGTCAAAAATGACAACAAAAACACAACACAAGGCCCACTGGCACTTCGGAACAAAGGTATTGTTTGCTACATACATATCAGTCTGATACATGGCAAGAAAGATCCAAGGCTTGAGGATGATCTATAAATGAAACAAAGCTCCCCCATACCTTTTTGGAAAACTTTTCCATAGCTAGGAATTGTAACAAACTGTCAAGCCAGCAACATTAAATGCAGAGGAACAAATTAACCAGGCCTCTTGGGCAAAATTGACACCAAAAGTGACAAGAATGACATTTTTTTAAATATCTTGCACCATAGTGTTTTTTTATAAAACACTTTTTTAATAAACTATTACAATAAGGCTCATCACCATCCAGTAAAGTTACACTTCTGTTCAAAATAATTTTTAATGTTTCTAAAAGAAGTCTGTTATGCTCACCAAGGCTACATTTATGTAATCAAAAATGCAGTAAAATTGTGAAATATTATTACAATTTAAGATAATTGTTTGCTATTGTAATAAATCTTATAATGTAATTTATTCTTCTGAGGGCAAAGTTGCATCCTTGCTGAATAAAATAATTAATTTATTTTGTTAAAAAAAAACTTTCTGACCCAAACTTTTGAATGGTGTATTATACTCGCCACTATACTCAGTCGCTCTTTTAACTTGCTTGCAGCTAGCAGTGTACTTGCTTACATTGTTCTCTCTCTCTGTCTCAGGAAGAGTCTCAGAGTTTGTTACCATCAAAAACGTACCATATCACTATTCCCTGTAGCGTTATTTTGGACTCTGGACCCTTTGCAGAATCAGGTGTGTTCATCTCTCTTCTATTGTCCTGCAGCTGTCATTTCAATGAGGCGTAAACCTGTGGAAATAGTTTTTTTTAAACAGTATCTCAGAGCAGTCTAGAACCTGCCGGCGCAGCCCCAGCGGCTGTGTCTACCTCACCTGGGTCTGTCACTGCCCCTGAACAAAAGGAAACACCATCCACAAACAGAACTTCTCCACCACCCAGAGCTCCAACCACTGACCCTGTCTCACCAGGTACCATTTACTCTCTGCCTACCCTGGACTATTTCACCTGTGATCCCTCAGGTCAGCCCGGGTCACCTCAGCATTCAAGGCCCACTGTAGACGTTCCAGCAGTCCCTTCGACAGGGGTTTCTTCATCACCAGGTCGTCTCGCTGCAGCAGATGCTTCTGATGTGGGTGCCACAGTGAAATCTGAGTCCAGTGCCACCATATTTTGGACCAGATGTAATGAGGCCGGGTGGACTAAAGAAATCTTCTCAGAGCTTGTGTCTCAGCTGAGCAGCCTAGGAGAAAGAGTGCAGTCACAGAAAGACAGCCACCAAGGTGAGAACAGCCTTGATTCAAGCCAGTTTTGTGAAATATTCTGGGTTCAATACAAGTTAAAGGCGAAGAGGCTTCTGCGCTACTAGCGTCACATATTGGAATTACAAAAATAAGGAATGTTTTCAAACAACCTCAAACCCTTACGATTATTCATATCCTTACGATATATTAAAAATTCTGTCACGAAACACTAGATGGCGTAGTCTGATAGGTCTAACTAAATATGACATAATGACATCATTATCACATGGTGCAGCTGATTGGTCCCTTTTTGCATCAGCAGCCAATTAGCTCGCTGCTCAACATTCAAATACTTGGCTAGTGTTTGCTGTAGCAGTTGCATTGCGCTTCAGAAACCCTCCACCTCCCCCAGCTCCACCTGTATTGATCTGCTATGTTTGTGAATGTATTTGTGGATGTATTTGCTGTAGCAAATACATTGTCATGTACATTACCATGCTAAACTTTCAGAGTTGTCATGACTGAACTTATTTTATCTGGGACTTGACAGTAAATTGGCAAAAACTGGAGTTTAGAAACTTCAGCAAGTTCAACGTCTCGATTGAAACCCGAACACTGAATCAAATTTCTCCATCTTGTAAAAGCATTACCAATGTTTACCCTCCTCTTACCTGGTTGTCTGTCTTTGTGTATTTAGGCAAGTCTTTTTAAATTTTGGCTTGCTGTTAACAAACCAATCTAAATTTCTTTTCCCATGTAACGTGTCAGCGATGGTCCCACACACTAGCTATAAAGCCTCTTGCTTTGTCTGCTAAAGTAGCCACTAGGGGTGTGCGATATATACCGTCTGCGATAGTATCGTAATTCTTGTTTTAACAATGTGCGATTTGACATTATCGAGTATTTTGCAAAAACCATTCAAAACACCTACTGAGCGCACACAAACATTAGGTGAAGTCTAGAGACTAGTGCGAGTACGCATTTAGAGTGTGTTCTTTCACTGCATGATTCAGTCTATTAAAATAGATGAGATAGAATGATCACAAATTCAAGACATGGGGGCAGAAAATTTATATATCTATACCACTTCATATAGTTAATCAATTTCACACGAAGAGTGCCTTTTTTTCTCTAAAAATCACCATGATTACAAATGTGATTATTGATTTCAATAAACAAGAAGTTAAATAAGAGACTTATGTTTTAGACACCATATTTCCTGTTTATGCGGTGTTTTGACAACAAAAAAATAATTCCAAACACAGCACTGTTTTGAGTCTCTGAGCAAATAACGGTGAATTCGTTCCTGAATAAATCAACCGTTTAATGATTCGGTTCAATTGCAATGACTCGCTTATTAACAGTGACTTGCTGCCACCTACTGGCGGTTTTAATTTCACATTTAAAGTATCTTTTTATTATTTAAATTCTTCAAATATCAGTATTCAACATTTTATGTTTAATAGGCCTATATCAAAACATTATTTATGCATTTGTAATTGCAGGTTAAATGCATTCATGTCCTGCATGAAACAGTGTGTAAATGCATCTAAATGCCACTTCAGATGCATATTCTGTTTCCTCTGCATTGCAAAGATTAATTTTGTTGATACTGATTTCATAATTCACTGATATGGACACTTTTAGAAAAAAAATGGCTTTATAAAGTAAAAATGCCCATAAAATGTAAAAATCAGTTTAAACTTATTGGAAAAGATGAATTTCTATCAGTGTGAACTGACCACCACCATACAGAATACGAAGAATATCAAAAACTTTAGGAGTCAGCTGTCCACGGCAGTCCTTAAGATACCAGCACAATAACACACTCAGCAAAATATTGTCTAATTATCGTTATCGATAAAACCCCAGAAAATATCCAGATATAATTTTTTGTCAATATTGCACACACCTAGTAGCCACAGTCCAAACTATTGCTATAGGTTGACCTGGAAAGACACTGACGAATTTAAGTGGACCACACTAAATGTTTTTTGGTGCCTGGGAGGCTCAATGTTTACCCTTTTTGGGAGATAAACCCATGAATGGAATACTTATAATAGTCAATGAACAGTAAAATGGGTTGAGAGATGTTTTAACCAAAAATATTATAAACTTCACCTTTAAGCGCAATCAACAGCATTTGTGGCATAATCTTGCTATCAAAAACATAAATTTTGACTTGTCCCTTTTTTAAAAAAACAATCTGAGTTGCAGTGAGTAACTTAAGATGGAAGTGACAGACTTTAACCATGATATTTGCCTTTTTTAAGTAAAAAGAGGAACGGGTCATTTTTTGTGTATGTGTTGATCACTGATCTATAGTCATTATACTGTTATATTGTCACAAACACTATTAGCTGAGCTTAACTCGTATTGAACCTGAAATATCCCTGTTCTTTAACCCTCAATAAAATGCTGGGTTTTTGTTTATACAACTGAAAAGCTATTAAATATTCCACAGATTATGATGTTGCTCTCAAAGTATTGGGGGCATCTGGACGGCTGCCTTGCATTATTACTCAGCTGGAACAAGGTACAGCATTTCATTGTAACTACCTAAATCTAAAGCGTTACGTTATTTCAACCCTTTAACAGTAAGCTTTGAATTTATCCATTCAAATTATAAGTATATAAATTAGTACATTTCTTTGTGCCTTGTAATGAATCACATATTAGAAAGTAGAATTGTTATGGGGACTTAAATGGCAGTGTTTCATGAGAATGACTGTGTTCTTTGTGTTTCCAGACCTGGAGAAAGAGGAACGGGATTTGCGGAGGAAAGAAGCAGCACTGAGGGATGCCAAAGCTGTACTAGATGTTTAATATAAACAATATAACAGAATTAAGATGTTTTATTATTTTTAACAATTAATTTTTTCAATGTTTATTTTTTTAAGCCCAGAACATTTCTGCACTTTGCATATGGTATATGTTTTTTTAATGGGGGTTTACAGTATGTCAGTGACAGAAATATCATGAAATATGTCTGCATATGCCAGTGACAGAAATATCATGAAATATGTCTGCATATGCCGTTTTGATATGATCGTTCTTCTGTTGTCATTTTCTAAATAAAAAAACAGTTGCAACTGTAAAAAACATTCTTTATTGTTCTTAGAATGTTGTTCTTAGTATCTTGGATTGTATTTTAAACCATAGCTTTTGACACGTTTAAAGGGGAGTTTGAGTGTGCAGTATGTGTCTGTTGTACACAGAATTGCTGTGTATTTTTTCTGTTGACTGGGGGAAGTGAGACTCACATCACCTGCTTTTGCTCATCTGTAAACCGATCAGAGCAGGAGTCTGAACAGCCAATCAGCACACAGCAACAAACAGCCTCTAATGAGGCTTCAGGTCAACCACAAACGTGCCTGGAGGGCTAGTCAAAGCTAGTGTGCCTTCATAAGAGAAAAAAAGTCTATTATTCCCAATATGCACACTAGGTGGCAGCAGACACATTAACAGCTTTAAGAGATTCACCAAAACATTTCCGTCATCTTTCAGACCTGTAAGGCGTCATTGTCCTTTCAACTGCGCTTTGGCGATGAAGTCTTAACTTTGTCTAAACAGTTTTCAGTGAATTGACATATAAATGTTATATTTTTAAATAAATATTTCAAAAACATAACACGCTTTAATAAAACCCACGCAAGTAGCCTAGAGCAGTTCATGTACATTAAGATATAAACATAAAAATGTATTAAATAGTTGTATAAAATGTATTTTAATTATCTCAGATAATAAATATAATGGAATGTGTTACTTATTCATGACCGTTATTATAAAAGGGTGCCTTTACCTTTATTCAGTGGGTTTTTTTTTCTCTCATTTTAGAACCACCAAAGCAGTGAAGACTTAAAAATAGTAGGATGTAAGATCTTAGAAGGAGCCTTTTTTTTTTTAAAGGCTTTTTCAAAATGTTCGCTGAACCCCCTATCTGTCATCACTAATGTCTAGACCTGCTGAGACATCAAGACAATAGGAACAATAAGAGAGTCTGCATTGGGGGGTTTACAAAGAGTTACTCACCCATCCATGTTTTGTGTAATATTACTGGCTGATGCTGAATGTTTCTGTGGCACATGAATAGAACGCAATTTATTTACTAATACATCTATCTATGTCTCTCTCTCTTTCTATATGCAATAAACATAGGCTATATATGGAATTAGTACTATTGCTAACCCACATTATTCCTCCAATTAACAACCAAAGATCTAGGGACACTTTTAGAATTTTAACTAAATATAACAATTTGTTTTTGTAGAGGTGCTTGATTGTCTCTATTTTATTTGGTTAGAAGTCATTGTCATTGCACACTATAACACAGGTCTTTGACATAGAGACAGAATACTTAGGGTTATTAAATACAGCACTTGTGGAATGTACCATAAGACTTTTTGGGGACTGAATATCAGACTTGACAAGTCTTACAGGAAAAAACATTTTCAGAGCACCTTTTCTGAAAAGCACATTGCCTTTAGGTAGCTGCATTACCATGCTGTTAACAATAAAACTTAAAAATTGGTTGCGTATTCAACTGGATAAAATGAATGCATGAGTGGTTTTAGTGTTAAAGGTACATAACATTTCTGCAGTAACCAGTAAAATTAGGTTCATAGTTGTAATTAATGTTACTGTGCAGATATTAATTATTTCAGGTCCAGGACATCAGTGGAGCAAAACACATCTGAAGCAAAAAGAAATGTTTACCTTCAGTCTAACATTTGAAGGAGTTTGGTAAGATATAAGCTAGGGCAGCAAAAATGATCATGTTAAACAGATTAATGCATGTCTGAAACATTTCAGTGTCTATTTGACACTCTGAAAACTGTTCAGCCACAGTCACTTGTTTAATACTATGTGCAATAGAGATCACAGAGGTAAAATGTTAAAATACACTGTAAACTGATATTGTTGGCAATTTATAAATCTGCCTAGTTCAGACGAAAGGCAAACGACTGTAACAGACTCATCAAAAATCAATAGAATAAGAGAGGTCTGGTTTGATTCTCAATCACATGTAACTAGTGCAAATACAATAGGTTAATTCAAGAAAGCTGATATTTGTGTGGATATATAAAGTCAACGATACATTATCAATAATTTCTACATAAATGAAAAACACAAAGCTGATCAGCTGCTGATCATTGTACATTGTCATTAAATAAAAGAATAAGCTCAGTTTATCAATATCACCCACTACAGAAAATAGATATCAGTAAGTGTCTTCAGTGCTTATGTAAAGTGTTTTCTGGGTTGTAGATTCTCTCTCATTTGTGTGTGTCCAAACACACATACACACACACACGCACGCACGCACGCACGCACGCACACACACACACACAGACGGGATAAAGCCTGGTTTGTCTTCCAAAAGGACATGAGCAGCAGTAGTAACAGCAAAGGCAGAAGCAACATTGAAAGGGATCATAACCACATGCTGCCACACACACAGTTCAACTCGACAATATGTGTGTGTCTGCACACAGATGACAATTCAAAAGATCTGCTGTTCAAACAGAACCTTTTCAAAGCCTTCAGGTGGAGTATGGTAGAAATCACTGAACTGGCAGTCTATGATGGCACTGTCGTCCACTGAGAGAATGAGAGGAGAGATTACAAACATCAATATATTACTTCATCATATGAATGGCAAAAACGTCTCTCCAATATATAGTTAATATGTCATGACAAATCTTTTTTTTTCAGTCCTTTTTTTAAAACTTGTATTGTAACTTTTTGTTAAAGATATAGCAAATTAAAATAAAAGTATTGCTTTATGATATGTTCCCTTTCACAACTTGCACATTCTTAAATGTTATTTAAACCTTTATTTAAACTTAAAGGGATAGTCCACCCAAAAATGAAAAATCTGTCATCATTTGCTTGCCCTCATGCTGTAACAAACCTGTATGACTTTATTTCTTCTGCAGAACATGAAAGAAGATATGTTGAAAAAAACGTTGGGAACCAAACAACATTGGAGCCCAATGACTGCATTAACACTGACTTCCATTGTATGACATTTCTCAAAATATTTATTTGTTTTCGTCATATAGGTTTGGAAAGACATGAGTAAAAGATGATAATTTGATCATTAAAAAAAGGCCTGTAACACTTAAGGCCTTTGTACAGTGGCTGGAAGAAACAAAAGTCCCAATTTTCAATTAAAAGAGCTTTTTGGGAAAGATTTTTACTTTAAAATGTGCTGTGCATTAGCTAGACTAGCCTAATAAACCGTTTTAGCATGACTGAAGCTTAAAAAAAACATGTAAATATATGATATCAATATTGTAGCCTGAAAAAAAGTTCTTAGCAAGACTGAAGCTAAAGAAACGTAAATATATGATATCAATATTGTCATTATATTGGAGAAATAAAATTATATATATATCATATTACTGAAATACTCACCATAAACTATGGGGAACACAGTCCCTCGAATACCTGAGGCTGGACAATGCATGTTTTTTCCATTTAAGTACAGGTTCAATTCCACGTGATCATAGGTCACCCCCTTAAAACAGAGACATATTTACGATCAGAAGCAATGTCTTATACAGAATGTAACTGCTGTATTCCACAATTTGATAGCTCACTGTCCAAATTCCAAAAGTAAAAACGTACCACTATATCCCCCTCCTGAGGCAGGCTGTTGGCAGGTAATCGGTTCTTCTCCTCGTTGCTTATCCATCTGAAGAACATTACAGAGATCCAGGAGGTAAAATGTGGTTGTAGTAAAAATGTCACAATGCAAAAAAAAAAGAAAAGAAAAATTTCTAAGGGTCCCAATAATAAGTTACTTTACTTTTATTTAATAAAAAATATTTAATTATTTTAATAATAATAGAAATAAAAATAAAATAATATATATATATATATATATTTTGTTATTATGGCATTTTAATGGTACGTAAAATAAATTAAAATAAAATCTAAGATTATGAGATTAAAGTTCTAATATTTTGGGAGTAAACTCAAAATTACGAGAAGTCATAGCAATACGAGATGAAAGTAGGATTATGACTATTCTCAAAATATTACAACTTTAATCTAATTTTGCTTTGACTTTATTGTCAAAATATTATGACTAATCTAATAATCTTAGTTTTTTTATTTTTACTTTAAATGGCACTAAAACACTGTCATGTTTAGATATGTCTTTATGCAAAAGATAATTTGGTTTGTCATTTGAATTTGTTTAGAAACATGAAATATCATGAGTTATTAACTTACTATCACAAATTCTCTTTTATATTAAGGGACACTATTGCTTAACCATATGAAAACACTCAACATGGCATCCCTGTCTAATGCTTTAATTCTGGTTATTGCAATTAATTCAATTACTTAACTGGAGTTGTGTTCTCAAAGCTTATTTTGTTTATTGATTTGTTTATGTCATAATCTATTTTACAGCAGCTACACAATCAATAACATTCCTCTTTGAGACAACAAATACATCTATCTGACAGCTACACAGTGCTACAGTGTTTGTACAGGCATTAGAAAAATATTAAAAACAACCAAAGCGAAACCGAAAAAACCTGGCTACAATGTAACATGATGAAAAGTCTGACCCTGCTGACTGTATAGTAACAACTATCACGGAGGCACTCACCCGTGGACTGGATCTTGAACTCAAAATAGCTCTTGTTCTGGTGTAGAGGGGCGTTGGCAAGACAGGCTCCAGTTCCACAGATCCGCCTCCCACTTTTCACTATGACCACATCCGTCCCTGGGAAAAAAGGCCAAGCAAACTCTCATGACCACACTGCTACAGCACTGAAATGCAGGTATGTATTTCATAATGTTTTCAGAGATAACTGCAGAAAAACGAGGCTGAAATGACACCCACTACCAGACTCACTCAATCACAAGAGAGATTAAACAGACATTGGATCTGTCAGCTGTATACTAGCAGCTAGCATGTGATCCAGAGTAGTAAGGAGGACTACTTGACCTGATTAATTAGACACTATTAGCAACGAATGCACGTTATTTATTTAAAAACCGTGATGGTAAACCTATTTATTAGTTCATTTGTGTTCAAGCCGCTGTTTTTAGGGTATAGCGTCATCTGCTAGCTTGACACATCTCTTCGCTTTAAATGTAAAGTGGTGTCTTCTTGTGAGCCCGCTGAGCAGTGGAAATGACTCTTACCCATGTGGTGCGTGTCTAGCTGTACGGTGGGCATTTCTTTGAGGGGAGCATGGCCCGCTCCGCCATCCCCGCAGCAGCCCAAACAACACGTAAACACTGCAGCCATTCTAGCGCCGAGATCACCGGAAGTGCAGTTACACGCGTCAAACTCAAGAGCGTACAACGCTTCCGGGATAGAATGGATCCCACGGAAAAATCATTGTTGACTACTGGTGCTGTTTTGACACACACAGAGTCCACCTCAAGGCGGCGCTTACCGGCTCAGAAAGTTTTTTTATTTTATTTTATTTTTATTCAGTGCTTTGAACAACAACAACACAATTTTCCAATCCACAATTTTCATTCACACTCTGTACACCATATCACAAAATAAATGTAAGATAAAATAAAAATATTGGGGGGGAAAAAAAAAATATATATATATATATAAAGAAAAAGTAGGGGAGTAGGAGGCTCTCACATTATGAAACCAAAATCCTCTAATAAAGTATACAAATACCTTGCTTTGGGACATTTCATCCCTCTTAACGTCTCCAAATATATTACAAATTCCTTTTTAAAAACCACTAATCAATGGGGGATTTTTGAAAAATTTACATTTATGAATGTAAAATTTCAGCAAAAGCAGCAAATTATTACATAAGATATCTTTTTATCCTTAAATAAGAAACCAAACTTAATTTCCCATGAGAGGATTACAGGTATTCTTTGTTGTATCCAGCTGAATTAATCATTCCAGAATGTTTGTACCAAATTACACTGAAAAAAAAAAACAGTGTTCAACTGTTTCTGTCTCTGATATTCATAATTGGCATATATTTGAGTCCCCAATATTGAATCTTACTCTTAAAAATTATTTTGCAGGGTAAATGTGATTCATAATTTTAAAGTGCACCTCTTTACATTTAGGGTTGACAGGAAATGTAAGAAAATTACAAAATCTCTATAAAAATTTAGTTTTTACAAATCCAGCAATCACAAACAACTGCAAATGGTCCATCCTGACCAGGGTAGAGAAAAGTTCAAGATAGCTGGTGACAAAAGCTGCTTGCGTGACGCCCCATCAGCAGTCTGGATAAAAATGTACATTCGTATGATCACTCTGAGAAACTTTAATAGCCATTGAATTGAAAATACACAGCGACGAGGCAATTGCAACAGTTTAAACTGGAGGATTTTTTGGCCACTTTCACCTCACCGAGAGTTAGAGAATGTGACCCTGGCTGTGAAAACCCAGCTAAAGTCATTTTCTTATTTGTGATTTAATGTTTACTACATAAAATCATCCTTCATAAGGTAAAGAACATTCTGTGAAAATGTAACCTTTATATCTTTAATATTGACTGTAAGGCCATGTCAGATTAAAATCATAGTGAAATTAATGGTTATAATCAAACTTTGATGCTTGTTCTCTCATAATTAGATTTTGAGACTTTAGCCTGGATTTCACAGAGAGGGTCACATATATTTGTACATTATTTTATGACAGGTAAACATGACACGCATATAATGCAAGGTGTTTAAAGTTCAAAGCCAAACATCTTTTGTTACTTAACCAAAAAATCACCAATAAAACATACCATATACCATAGTGTTGAATTGGACTGGGATAAAATTGTATGTTTTTGAATGTATGCGTCCCTTTTGTGAATTTTGGTCTGTGTTATTATCGAATTAACATACACTAAATAAAAACAAACAATCATAAAAAGCGCTCATCCTATTTCTAAGACAGCCCGGTTCGCTGAGCCCTCTCGTGGCCAATTACGTCACTGCACGCGCTTTCATCCCTGACTCGACCAATGAGCGCGGCGCCTCGGAAGTCCTTCTCTTCCTGATGGCATGGAAACAGGGGAAGAAAAATCGATGTCAAAATATTTTGACACGTGACTCGGTAGCGATTGGTTATCGATGCGTCAAGGCCCTGACACATGGCACGGGCATATGCGACCAAAGTGGCGTGATGAAGGATCATCTTTATGAAAGAAACCCCGACGTGCTTTTTGGTTGTCTGTGTCTGTAAACCATGAGTAGATGTAAACGAAAATCACTTCGTTACTGTAGCTCAGTGAATAGACGAATTAGGCGTTTATGTGGGTAGATGAAGGGTAACGCCAGTATTGACGTAATCTGTAGAGAAACGCTGATCTAGGAGAGAGTGAGTGCTCCCCCGCAACAACCTCATCCAAGAATGAAGGAATCCTCTGCATTTCTTTCTCGCCGCGCAAAACGTGTATTCAAGCGCTCGAGTCTGCAAATACATTTCGCTACGCAGATATTACGCTGAATGTGGTGTTGAAATGTTTGTCTTTAGATGCACTATTCATTAGCTGTTTGTGCGCATTCTTTTTAACTGCCTGGCCATACTGACTTGACCTGAACTAGTTAAAATTTCCCAATTGGAAAGGGCGAAGTCTGCACAGCAACAAGAGCCATGTTTGCGTTGCACACTGCCTAAGCATCTAGTGCGCTTCTGGTCCAATTGCTGATGCTTTCCGCCTGCAAAATCTGCCACAACCGTAGTAATACCTTGACAACCGGACCCGGGCGAACCGAGAAACATTTTTGACAACTCGACGGCGGGGAATCTTTTTTCTAAATCAATGCTTGAAGTTTGTTGGACAGGTCCTCGGATATTCCTGCACGAAAGTTCTTACGCGGCAATTAAAAATGAAGTACTGGTGCGCTCAGGAGTCTTCATCATCAGGCAATCTAACCTACTATATTTGGTTAACCTGTCGTGCCTCTTCCACAGAATCGCTTGCAATGCATTGAAAAATATCTTCTGATCGATGCAGATGATGTTGATTCTTTACAAAAAAACTGCACGCTAAGCTTCACATGGATGCAGTTTTTCTCATTTTCAGCCAATTTGGTTCTATTATGTATTCACTGTAGACTCGTAACGCATTCTGCAAAAGCAAACATTATATTTGGTTTATTGCGCGTAATGTAGATGATGTCCAAAATGATACTGGCCAGCACTGAGTGCTCTAGACTTCACAATCGGTGTGGGATGCACGAGAAAGACGCTTGCCAAGATGATGAAAGTTGCATTGATGTGTCATGCCACCGACAATCTTTCATATTGATGTCTTTTTCCACTTTAGGATACGATGGAGCTCTTGGAGGAGGACCTCACATGCCCAATATGCTGCGGTCTTTTCGAGGATCCGCGCGTTCTGCCGTGCTCTCACAGCTTCTGCAAGAAGTGTCTGGAGGGCATCCTGGACGGTAACCGGAGCCCTGCTTGGAGACCACCGTTCAAATGTCCGACCTGTCGAAAGGAGACCGTGCACAACGGCATCGCGAGCTTGCAAGTCAATTACTCCCTGCGTGGCATCGTGGAGAAGTACAACAGGATTCGAGTGATGCCAAGGATGTCTCTCTGCCGAGTTCACAGTGGACAGCCGCTCAACATCTTCTGCGCCACGGACCTGAAGCTCATCTGTGGCTTTTGCGCCACGACAGGCGATCATAAAAGACACAAGTTCTGCGCGCTGGAGGAGGCGTACGAACGAGAGAAGCTCGCGTTTGAGGAGTTGTTTCGTGTCGTGGAGGGCTGGAGGGGCGCGGAGGTGCATTCGTGCCTGGAATCGTTAGAAGGAGCTAAGAGGAAAGCGCTGGAGAGGGTCTCGCGTGACGCGGATCGAGTCTCAGAGTACTTTGACAAACTTTTACGCACGCTGGAGCACAAACGGAGCGAGATCCTCTCGGACTTGGAGACTCTGAAGCTCGCGGTCATGCAGACCTTTGACCCCGAGATCAACCAGCTCCGCTCGGCGCTCGAGGAGCAGCAGCGTGCGCTCAGCATCGCCGAATCCTTCCGTTCGCTCTCGGACCCGCTCACTTTCCTCCAGCAGATGCAGGACTTCAGGGAAAAGCTGCGCGTCATTCGGGGAACGCCGGTGCCGTCGCGGACTGACGTGGACGTGGGGTTGCTTGGCCTGCAGAGCTTCGATGTGAAGGAATGGGACCGGGTGCGTCTTGGAGAGGTGGACAAGCTGTGCGCCCCCTACGAGAGCAGCACCTACCTGGCTTCGCTGCCCCCTGCTGCCGCTCCGCGCTACTCCCGCGTGCTGTGGAGAGTTGTTCTGGTTGTATGTGCGTGTCTCCCAGCGCTGAACTTTCTCCCGTCGGACTGTCCCGCTCTGAGCTTCCAGGATAAGGTGGTCGCACTCGGTGGCTTTTCTCTGCCCTGTCCTGGAGAGATTGTGCGCTGGCTTGGGTTGTGCTGGAACGAAGCGGAAGCGATCTGCACGCTACTAACCGAGCTGTGTCGGAACTGTATCATGGACCTGATAAACACAACATCAGATTTCCTCAGCTGATTTTACAGTATAACTCCATTCATTAGGTACTTTTTTTATGTCCTACAATGTGCCAATCTTGAAAATCCCGTAGATTTGTAGCATTGGGAAAATTTAGTTTGTGTCTGTTTTTGAATGTGTAACAAGAACGGCTGATTCATAGTCAGCATTTGCGTGCTGGTAAATTGCACTGATTTTGTCTGTTGGTTTTAAATGGAAAATCAAGTGTGGATGGATCGTTGTTTACTAATGGGATAACATTCCCAAATCTTACATTTAATAAAATGGCTTGTTCACTTAAGTTACATAGAGCTGTATACTTAATCTCCAAACGATCCTCTCGAATACAAGTTTTCACTTTTTAATATATTATGCTTTATTGCAGTTTTGGAAACGCCAGTATTGGAAATTAACTGGAAAAAAAACTAAAGAAGAGGAACACATTCCGATTGTGCATTGATATCGTTTATCTACTCTGTGCAAGTTATCAGGAGACTCAAGGTTAAACGTTATGTAACTGAATGTCAGTCTAGTACCAGGACAGTAAGTTCAGTTCTTCAGTATTTTTATTATTATTTTTCACTCAGAATGAACTTGCATACTGCTATATGTTTGTTTTGTTGTTGATTTAATACATATTGCGATAATATAGCTTAAATGTTGCAATAGCATTTGCCATTAAGAGAAAGTTTTGAAATTATTAGTGCCGTAACAAAACTTTATCTGAACATTATTGGCTAATGTAATAGATTCGTGTTTTGAGGGTAAATTATTTTATACAAAAAAATCAGACCTCATTAATGCCTTGTAATATTTACAATGTCACCCAGGAGGGACATGGGTGTGCACCATTAAACACAAAGTCCGGACTTTTAAAAGAAAGAAAAAGGAAAAAAAAAAAGTGAAGGTATCCCCGTTTTTGCCACGGTGTAAACAGGAATCCTGAGATTCTCGGACGACTCTGCTCTGATATGACGTCACCACCGGAGCCCTGCGCACGTCACTGAACATATATTTAGCCGACTGTTGCCAGGCGAACTGGGGGATGAAAAGTGAAATTGCCTACTTTAACCTACTTTGCAAAATAAAACCTTACATAACTTGGAGTAAATTGAATAACAACGAATTTATTAATAAATCTAAATTTTTCTGAAGCCTGCAGAACACATTGCCGACAAATAGGAAGCTCACTCTGAAATGGCGCCATGTTATGTAATTCCAATTCTTCGATTTTCTCTCTTTTTAAACAAATGTAACATTGTGTCTTTAAAATAACGACACTATCTTCACTCTACCACATAGGCCTATCTATCTTACACCAGTATACCTCACTATTAGGCCTATTTTAAGAAAAAAAAGGCAATCATGTCAACACGTGTAGGCTATTTCTTTTTGCTTTAAATGTTTTGTTTTTGTGTTTAATGTTTCTAATGACTAATGATTTGTTTTAATAATTGGTTTTGTCAATACTCGTCTCTTGAAGTGGCTACATCGAAAAGTTGCACTTTGCCATTTTATCCTGTTTTTATTTTTAGTTTAAATTTGCTATAGGGATGAGACTCCAAATACATTTCCCTTCATATAAGTATGCTATTAAAGTTCTAACATTATGCTTAATTATTTTTAAATTTGTCAAATGAAAAGCATGCATACGTCGACAATGACTTACGAAGCCGCAAAAAAAAAAAAATCCCTTTAGCGTCTCTGTCCTGTAATTGCAAAATTCGAAATGCATTAGTTTTGTTACTTTTTTGCAAACACTAAAGCAAACAAGCATTTGCCCATTATATAACCGGATCGCCTACACCAGATACACGAAATAATATGATCACGGTTACATTTCGATTACAAGGCCGCATAAATTAAAGTGTATCATGCGGCGCATCATGAAATAGCAAAACAACCTTGCATTCTGATAAATGATGCAGCAATAAGGAACATCAGCAATTAGCCTAGGCTATAGTTGCAAATGTCTCAAAACTCCCGGACAAAGTGTTATGGTTGTCGAGATAGCAAAATAAATGAATAAAATTCACATTGTATTTATTAAAATTACATGTTAACCTTTTACATATGCACTGTCCTGCATCTAACATTTAAGACTTCAATCTCATTCTTTTGTTTACTGAATTAAAAGAGCGTGCAAATCAGCAGCTGTATGCAGAGAAAATTTCGAGAGCTGTAATATATGAAGGTGAATTTATTTGGACATACCCAAGTTTCCCCGACATAAACACACACACTAAAAAAAAAAAAAATAGACGGACTTTTTTTTCCCTTCGGAACTTGTCTACACACGATGACCAGTAACTGTAATTAGTTGTAAAAATCAGTCTATTCACAATTAAATTAAACGAAAAACATGTATTTTATGTAAATGTCTGCCTAAGAGTAAGCATCTAAATTAAATAGCCTATATATTTTTAACAGCCATGTAAAATGATATCTTATTAGAGGACTTCTCAATGCATCTCACACAGCAAAATAAGTGTGCGCGGTAAACATAAATTTAGGTTCTGATAAAACAGGCTATTTAATAATTAAAAGAGGCGTTTAAAAATCCGTCCTCATATCAAGTTATCTATTTGTTAAAAAATAAATAAACTCAAGACAAATTTACGTCCTACAGTATACGTACTGGACAATAAACCATTTCATCTTGAAAAACTTTTCCATTAAATTATTAAAATGTGTATGTTTTACCATTACCAAATAATAGATTAAAATCTCTATGAAAAATCTCTATAAAAGCTCTATGAAACTGCACTGTTGCTACATTATCTCAGCTGCGCGGACCATCTTTAGATTATGCCTAAAAGCATCATATGACTAAAACGAAGCGTCAGAAGATTAAATCGACCTGTGTCAGAAGTGATCGTATTACGAGCTAAAGGCAACAACGGTTTTAAGTGCTGGTCAATAAAAAAAAAAAGTAAATAAATAAAACGTCTTTTCTTTATTGTCAAAGATACAAAATGTGATAAAATCAGGCAAACGCAGCATTCAGACATTAAACACACATACACACGCATTTCTGCGTGTAAATGGGTCCCTTATAAAACCCCTCAAAGTTACCCTAAATTATTTGACCCCGGTAAATCACACAAAAACTAATAAATTAATTATAATTTCTCAGAATACAAAGACATGGCAAGAACGAGTCCAAATCGTGGTTATATGTGCCAAGATGATTTAGCCTGCTCATAAATGTAAATTCTCGTTTTCATAAAATGGCGCAAATTATTTAAATGGTAGGCTATTTGAGCCCTGCACTGCATTATACGGTCTTTTTTTTAGGCCGACAGAACTTTGTGTGAAATTTCACAAAGATTGTGTATTATTTAATACAAGCACCGTCACGTAAGGTTACATAATAAGTGACTTGTACTGTTAACATGAAATGACACGTCATTTACAACTACCGGGAAAACCGAAAAATAACTTGCAGAAAGTCGCTGGGTGATAAGCGTTTTAATGCTGATGTTATATAAGAATGATAGGCCTATGGTACGCATGCGCCGTTCGGTAACCTCTCCAGCAAGATCATGGAGACATTTGCCTCTAATATTAATATGCCGTCCATTTTAACCAGCGGAATAATCTCCATATAAATATCTAAAACCCTTGCTTATTTGTTATTTTTGGGAAAAGTCTATTTGGAGTCAGTTTTGTGCTCTCAGTGTACTCGCCGGAAATGAGGAAAATTTGAAAAAAAAAAAAAAAAGAGTCATTAACGCACTTCACGTTATACTGGTTCATCAACAGAAAAATAACACATTTCTACAGCATTCAAATACAGTAGAGACGAAAAGCGACCACAAATATGAGAGCTCCAAAATAAAAGTTCCGTTCCTTGCGGAAACTGCTGAACAGATACAGCGACATAGGTGCGCTAAGGAGGTTCAAATGAGTATGCAACAGGTCAGACGAGATTTTCCTCTTTTTTCAGTTTTATTATTTACTTGCATTAACACAAAAATGCAACAGCACATTTAGGAAAACAGTGATTTCATTTGGACTATTTAATTAAAAAAACAAAACAAATTGAAACTAAAATAAATTAATAATAATAAAGGATACAAGGGTAGAATTATATTTTTTACATACTTAAGAATACTTCTCCTATAAACAAGAAGAAAAACACATGAATTTAACAAAAGCTACTTAACTTCTCAAACAAAACGAAACACTGCACCTATCTTTACCTTTGACCAACAGTTCATTCCGGTGAGACTGAGGGTCCTCCTGGCTTCTCTATGTTGGTTTGATGATTCAGTCCATGAAGGTATTTCAGTACCAGTGAGTCAGCCACTACCTGCACCAGCTATGCCCTGGTAGCTGAGATAAAAAGATGATGTGCATGTGCCGTTTGGTGACTTCTTGTTTCAGCAGCACGAGCAATATTGGAGGCATTGGCCAAGGAGTAACTCCAATATTTACATGCTGCTAAAGCAAGACAACACACGCATTCACACACACACACACACACACACACACACACAGTCTTTCTCTTCTCTCTCGACTGCGTAGGTCCCAGGAATTGATGCTGCAGCACATCACGGCCTGTATCGCTGTATCACCACAAACCATTCTGTGCTGCTACACCATCACCTAGAGAGGGTCCCTCTCTCTCAATCACACACTCGGCAACATGACCAAGCACTGCCAGAATCACAGAGCGAGTGAGTGACTCCTCTCCTCTCTCTCTCCCTTTCTCTCAGCAGGGCTTGAGGAATTCCAGGACTCCACCTGAAACACAGAAGAGAGGACGCTTGAGTGAGAACATACAGACAGCAGCTGGACGTGATGCTGTCAGTTTGCAGTAAAATACTTCAGTGTCTACTGCTGTGTTTGCCTGCAAACCATTTGTATCCAATAAGAACAAAAAGTATAATTTCTACATTTGTGTGCAGGACCTGCAAAATACAATTAAGTGTTCAGGATATACATATTGAGTTGATTTTTGTTATTTATTTCTTATTTTTGCATGCTTATAATGTACATTTCTAAATATATTTTATTGATGTCTGATAAAAAATAAATAAAAAAAAACTTTAATGATAGCATACATAAGTAAAATGTATATTTATTACTTCTACTTATTGCACACTAAATCACATAATATTTTACACTTCAGTAAAAAAGCACCTACAAGTCAAAACTAAATGTTATGCCACGATTTAAAAGATCCATCATTCCCAGTGGGTCCTGGACTGTTTTGGCATATTTACTTTTTATTATATTTTGAAACAGGACACAAGAGACGACTAAAATGAGGCATTACAAGAGTTTTAAATAGTAATCAATTTTATTTTTACATCATCATCCCCAGTGGTACATTACCCTCCGTTCTTATTTTCCACAGACACACCTCTCAGCAACTTTCAAGCATTATACTGAAACCTGTCCTCTGGCAACTCCATCAGAAACAAGAAACTAGCACTATTGTCTTCTAGACCAGACTGGATTTAACCTCCAAGATGGTGATTCAGCACTGACAACATCCAGCCTCGTAGTCATCTTCAACAGCAGGAACAGACCTGCCACCAGCTTCCCAAAGTGCTGCCCCACAACTGAAGAAGACATCTCTTATCCCCACACTATGCTAAATAAGATTATCTATTCTTTCTGAATCAATCCCTGTGCTCTGTGCTTTATGTACAGTTACGATAAAAAAGCTCATGTTAATGTTTACCAAGTCAGAGTTGACGTGAGACATCATTAACATAATAAAGACCTAATAAAAAAAAACTGAAGTACTGATAGTAATATTAGATATATTTATACACCCGACAATAGATTGGCAAACACAGAATCTCAAAAACAAAGTATTTTCTTTGACACATCAGCTTCCTAAAGATTTAGAATTTAGTTATATCTTAAAATGTAATTTAATTGTGTTGAAATATATTTGATTTTGGAGAATTGTAGCATTAAACAATATTTCAAGTACACTTCCATGCCTGCTTTTTAGTAGAATAATGTGAAACAGCAGAAAGGTGAGATCTGCAGTGAGTGTACTAAATAACACAGCATTTTACAGCCAACAACACCACTTGTGATGAACCGATTAAATCCTTTTCTTGAAATGTAACAGTTTGTATCTTTATTTGTATACTAAAATATATTAATTATAATAAAATATTAATTAATGACCAGTTTCAAGCACCTGTTTATTATGATCACTAAGGTATAACATTGACTCTAAGGTTACGACCTGACTAACATTAATAATTTGTTTCAGTGATGCAAATTGTATTCACGGCCAAGAAACTGGCCATTGTGACAATGCTACAATATTTATATACTGTTTAGCTCCTGATATAGTCACTGACAGTAAAATAGTTTTTCTCTAATAAAAAAAAAAAAAAAACTAGTGTAGGAGATTTTGGAAGCAAACAAGAGTAGATGAATTATCCAAAATCAGCCATTTAGTTCTGTCACCCCAACAAAACCTAATGCCTAGTTGTGATCTATGAGATTGACAGGAAGACAACTAGAACCTCTCACACACAATATAGTCAGTGCTAGAGTAGTTTTATGAGGCAGTGGCCTGCACTTGATAATGACAACAAACTCGTAATTGCTTCTAAACAAAAGTTGGCATCTGAAATAGTTTTTTTCCTTCCAGCATTTACTTGAGCTAACACCTCAAAGGCAAGAAATACAAATAAAACCACTACAGACATTACAGTGAATTTGCACTTTCACAGAGAGAGGGCTAAGCCACCACTGCCTGAAAAAAAAAGGGATTCAAAATCATGATAGGCAAATGTAAGTACACTTAAATAAAAAAAAAAAAATTGTTTTACACTTCACTTGTGCAAACAAGCACTGTGTCGATCTAAAGCGGACATCTCATTGCTTGAAGGGGATTTTAAAGCCTTAATACCATGATGCCAAATGCTGAAAGTGTCATTTACTTGGTATATAGCACCTGAACTGCCTAGTTGCTATAAAAATGTGTTTTAGCTCCTCTCTTAAAACAATTAACAACATATAAAATAAATTGCATAGAGATGTTATTACCTTGAATTGTTTTCTAGTTTCTGATGTCACAACCAGGCAAATTCTGGAAAAAAAAGAAGAAAGGTCAAGAAAGGCAGTTTTAAGAAGCTGGTGTAACAGACAGCAGAACAATTTAAAAACAGATACATATATAGTTTTAAAAAATAATAATTAAATACACATACTTTGAAAAAAAAAAAAAAAGATACACTTATAGTTAGTGCTACAGTGTGTGTGTGTGTGTGTGTGTGTGTGTGTGTGTGTGTGTGTGTGTGTGTATGAGAGAAAGTTGCTGTGAGCTATGTGAGTGGATGTGTGTTCTCTGATATCACTGCAGTGTGTGAGGTGTAAAATATTACTATAATATCATGTATAATATGTATTATAAAATCAATACATCAATCTTAAATACACCCTTAAAAATACATTCACTTCAATGATACAAATAATAAGAAGAATGATCTAAACTATTATTGGCCTATACAAGGACATGGATTATAGCACGGAAACCATTTCTGAAATTTACATCTAATAACCTCATGTTAAGTTTGTCTAAAAAAAAAGCTCCTTCGAATCCACTAGATATTTTTCAGAAAAATAAAAAATTATGCATTTCTTTTAGATGTGAACCAGAGATACACGTGTAGCACAAAAACAGAGACTGACGAGAAAACGTTTTCCCCCCTCCTTTCACCAACTCCCCACGTTTCTTTTCCCTCTCTCTCACACACACACACACACACACACACACACACACACACACACACACACACAGCAAGCCTTATGCCAAGATATTATAAATGAGTAACTTCACAGGAAGCATCTGACCACATGAATTTTTATCATGGAGAAAAAAAAAAAGACTCTGTCACACCAAAGTTATCAGACAACTATCAGAGCTGAAAAGGAGACATAGGAAAAACAAACATTTAGAACGAATTTGAGTAACAGAGCAGGTAAAACAAAATACAGCCTGGTTAGACAACTCAAACTCCATAAATCAAACAATTTAAAAAATATGTGGGGTTATTTTTATGCTTAAAAATATATTTGAAAAAAGTGTTACCATCAAAGGGATATTAAAAGTTCTTTCAACTCTATAATGTGTGTAGTTGGCCAAGCCTCCATTTTGGTGTTTAATCGTGTGCACTAGCAACATCATAATCCCAAAAGATAAGTGCACATTACGTGCACCATATTACACTATAATTTTAAGTCATGCTGTAATTATATCATTTGAATATATACAAAGCAGTACATGAGCACACAACTCTTTGATAACATAGAAAGTGGTCATGTGCATATGTGTGTGCGTGAGGAGGACCGTCAAGAGCCCCTAAACGAGTCTCTGTGAGTGAGAGGGGGTGTGAATGAATGTATAACATTTAACCTCTCTCTGCTTGTATTTTACTGAGCTCACATGACCTCAGGGTCAAAGGGTATCACCTTCCACTCCTCCATCAACATTAGCATGTGACACGCTCGCACACTCCGAGAGACTCGGCCTTATGCAGGAAACCCGCCCATGTAATTCTGTCAGTTAAATGGTCAAAAGAAAATTTAGCAAAATTACACATTTTATTTCACACATTTAACTTAAGATCACTGAAGTAGGAAGCAAGTAACTTTGCAGAAAAAGACAATGTTAAAAATAAATAAAAACATGAATACTTAATTACTTCTGTCGTGTGCAAATAATATACACACAGCATTCATATTCAAACCCTGTAATATAACTTCACGTCTGCATTTGTAGTTATGAAAGCTCTGTCTGTGTGTGTGTGTGTGTGTGTGTGTGTGTGTGTGTGGGCGCGCGTGTGTGTTGGTCTCTCTCAAACACATTTTCTGCAATCTAAAAAAAAAAAAAAAACTCACGACTGTGTAAATATTTAGTCAAAGAATGAATGACAGCAGGCAAGCCTGCACACCTGTACGGCACTGCTGCACCTGAGTACGGCTGAAACTACACAGCAATACACACCTGTGCCCTGACTGCAACCTCTCACTGTTACACACATGCATTGATCAAAGAAAACTCTGCAACACTGCAAATACACCGCATCCAACCCAAACTTAAACTCTATCATTAATTAGAGAGATACTCTAAACAGTCAATATCAGAGCTGTAAGTCTCAGAGTTAGGACTGGCCTGCTTTATACAAAAAAAATGCAGCCCTCACATACACACACACTACTTTCCCTGTAATCATTAAAAGAGTGTGGGTGATGACACAGAGACATTCTGTGTGCCTGTGACCGCACATTTGCTCCTGCACATCACAATAGGTCAAAACAAGAACAACACTGAAGTTTCTATTTGTAAAAAAAAAAATAAAATAAAATTTAATTCAGTTTAACTTGTCACATCACCACTATTGCACAGTTAATGGCAAACTCAGAAAATGCTGGCATGGTGTATGACAAAATTAACATGGAGTATCTCATAAAATTACCCGCACCATTAACTGATAAATAAGCCCCGTATTAAAACAGAGTGTGTATATTACAGCCTCTGGTCAGGAGATCTGAAGTGTAAGACTTCATTTCCTGCAAGTTCACGTTTACACTCTCTCACACTCGTAAGCACATAAAGCATGACTGACTTAATGTATTCTTGTTTTTTTTCTAACTAGTCGTTTAATTCTGTACACACCACAATTTAACTTCTCTAGTCTGGTGACTTTTACTTTTAAAAACTCAGTAGAGCTGGCAGCATAAAAACTCAGCTTCTCCCAAAATTCAGCCCTGGACACACCAGCAAAATGTCACAATGTCTTAA